TACGTGGCGAGCTTAAACATAAATTAAAGCATAGTGTTTGCAATGGGAAATGTACCGTATAAAAATGTTTGAATATTTCCTATTCTGTAAAAACACCGCGATCTATGAAGAGACATTTGGCAATAATTAATAACAACGTACAAAGACTTTGAAAAAAAATCTGTCCAATAATAAGTTTCGAGTGACGACAATTCAAGGTTCTTGATTATGTTACATCACAAACTCTCCTTATATGTACAAGTAAAATCCGTTATAAAAACACTTGATATAAGATATTGAGCACAAAGAGAGTATTACCCGACCCAGATTAATCTTGGTAATTGTCTAATATAAATTAGTTTGAATTATGTCGGTAGAATTTTTGGCAAAAAATTGGTCCCGACCAATCAACTACAGTATTGGTCTTCTTTCGATTATTACAAAATAATACGCAAATAACCGTTTATATTTACGATCAGTAATATTAATAGTGCCAATACGTACAAATCTATCCCTGTAGTGTCAATAATATTATTGATATGGCGACTCTACAATTATATTTTGTTGAGCAATTTTTTGGCTATTAAATTTCATAGGGAATTTCGCAATCGAAATCGGCAAATTCTAAAAAAAGAAAACAAGAAAGGAAGGTTAAACACATTACAGTTGTCTTTACATTGAGCCTCAACCGAGATTCTTACTTCTGGTTAAATCAGGCATTAATCGACTTGTGTAAATAGCCTGAGGATGTTGCGTTTCTTCTAGATTTTCACTTTCCGCATTTATACTAGATTGACAAAGTTCGTCGGCTTCCTCAATCTGGTTTTCAATGTCTTCCGTGGGTTCCCAAACCCATTTGGTGGTCAACTCGTATATCTCTTCGGCAGTCGGTCGATGCTTAGGATTGCTATCCCAACATTTCCGCATCAAATCACAATAAAACTGCGGCATGTCTTTGGTTATTTGTGGACGAAGACCATTGTATATTTGAAAAGCCAATGCCGCATTATGAGGAACATTATGGAAAGACTTTTTTCCAGTGCCAATTTCCCACATTAGCATACCAAACGCGTAAACGTCTGTTGCCGTTGAGTATTTTCCACCATTAAACAGTTCTGGCGCTACATAAGGCATTACTCCCATAATCTCTTTAATATCATTCGCTTCTGATTGTGGAATGCAAAGTCCCAAGTCATGAATGTTAATAAAATTCAAACTATCAGTAGCTTGGAGCACATTTCCAGGGTGAAGATCTCTATAACCAACAAATATGTTTACATTAATACCTCGTATGAATTAATAATTATTATAATTATTTACCTATGGATTAGTCCTGCTTTATGAATATCATTCATATCACGAGCAATCTGAACAATTATTAATAGCTTTTCACTCCAAGTAAGCTCTTCGCATAGAGTTTTGCGTATGTCTCTACTACAAAATTCTATAACAAAGTAATATTGACCAGTCCTTTCATTTTTTGTAAACCCTTGAAGTATTGGTGAAAACCAATCAGGTGATTTATAAGCCCAGCGCTGCAGTCTCTTGGCCTAGATTTAGACAATAATTAATATACGCCGGCATTTGAAAACACCGAGTAATATAGCAAGCAGGAAACACCCCATTGTCTAATTACCTCGTCAAGAAAATTCTTTGGCAGATGGTGAGGATGTCCGAGCGTTTTCAATGCAACAAATTCCCTATATGGAAACCGTAATGTTGTATTATCATTTTCTTCGTAACGAAACCACCTATTGTTGTGTTTATCCCATCCTTTGATTCTTTGTATTCTGCTGTTGGCACGAAAAACAGTTCCGTAGCCGCCTTTCCCTATTTTTTCAACATTCGAAAAGGTTTCGTACGGCCACCACTCTAACACTGTAATAGACGTCATTGCATGTATTTGAGAATTTTGAATAAAGTAATCAATCTCTTTGTTCCCAGACGTCCAAGCGGAAAACGCTTGACGAAAACGAGCGTCGTTGCAAGATTTGCACCAGTATTGTCCATAATCGTTACAATCTGGACATCGACCGAATGCTTCGAATTTCTCGTCGTCCGTTTCATACATATCAATCAAGACATTGTCGACGTAATCCTGACAAGCAGTTTCTTCATCGATATCTTCAGCAAGAGGCTATTTGTTGAGTTACTTTTGTGAATAGATTTGGACTAGAAATTCAATGAATGGCATGATTTATTTCCTTACCTTTTCTTCTTTAGGTGACATGTTGGAGAAAATAACGATGACATGGAACTGTACTTGCTGGCTCTTATTAAGAAGCTGACATTAATTGGTTCAACCGCTACTGCATACAATGTTACTAAACACAGAAGCGATACCCTTTAATGATAAGGCACAATATATTATCTCTCCTATCATTGGACTTTAAACATGTTACAATATTGCTCGTATCGTACTACTCTATAAAGTAGCCCTCCAAATTAACCATATGGTTGGGAAAAAAAAGTAACAATAGACGTTTTGGATCGAACAAAAAAAATAACTTGTAGGTACCTCCATAAATTATAAACTAATGGAATGGTCTTGTGCATTAATATGTTTGAATAATTTTTAGAATCTACGACAAAGATGAGCTGCTACTATTAACTGAGACGTTAATTTCTGTTTCTCTTTTACAAACAAACCTTATCCATACATAAAGACGAAAGCATACAATAACGTCTACACCATGATTCAGTAGGTCACATCAACGAGAGTCAATTGCATTAGCCGGGTAACGAATTAAAATCTATAATAACTATGAAGCCTACCTATTTAAATTACTTGTTCAACCGCATTTACTTTTAGTAAATTCTGAAACTGAAATATTTTGTGATTAAACAGCTTGCGGTCAAGATGCACATTTACAGTATATGTTCTGCATACAATTTTTCCTATATGGTAGCTAACAGTCTTGGGTTATTAAGTTCAACATTCATTAATGTAATAGTGAATACAATTACTGATTTAAATTTTAATCTGACTTTGACCCTGATTAACGTTTAAATCGACCGTTGCCTACTTGATGTTTATAAATCCATCATGTATATTAGAGTATCGCCAGGATTATCAAATTTGCGGGTAGTTTACAACTATCTTTGTTCACTGTTTGCGAAATAATTGTCGGTGAATGACTTGCCGCGAAATATAACGTTTATGAAGTGATTATCGACGTTATGACACGGACCTATAAAGGGACGAAGTGATAATCTTCCCTACCAATATATTTATATAATGAATGTCTGCAGATACGTGTAGTTTCTATTTCATCTTCAAAATATGTACCAAGAAACTCTTTGCTGTACAGAATCATCGCGTATTTTGTATATATGCAGCTACGTTTTTGGTTTTATGCCTGCGGTGGTAGAGGGCGTTATTATTTCCGGGCGAGTCGGAGACCCGGAGCATCGCTTCTTCAGATTTTGCGTTTCGGTAGTATTTTTTTAATATTCATTGTAAGTGCGCTCGTATTTTTATTTATTTTTTTTGGGAAAGTAGTTGCAGAATATACTATATGTCTTTGTATTCTCCGGACCGTTGAAATTTGTAATGAGGATTTTTATCGACCGCAAAATACATTGGAGACCGCATACCTACGCCATTGGTCATACCAGGCTCCTACACGCGTACTTAGTAAAGATTGTGGTAAATTAAAGTTGACATTCGCTATATTGATGCAGAGAACGTTCTAGGAAATATCTGTTTCGAGATTATTACTATCGAGGAAAGCTAGCTGAATGATTAGATTTTACGTGTATACGCGTATACTGGTTTGATTAACTGTACAGAAACTTTATTGCAGAATGGTTGTTATTTCGACAGAATTACATACAAGTTATTTGACAAAGAATTTTTCAAACACCAACAATTTACAATAAGTTTCTTGAACTACGGTTTTCGAGTCGTTGTAGTTTGATTTTACCTTGCATTTAAGCTTGTTATTTACATTTATGGATGTCGCCTGTCACCCGGAGAAAAAAATTAGCTGAGGTCATCTAGTTTTTTCTGGGCTCTAATCGACCTCTAGAAAGAATTCTGGATATGTGTCCCTAGTGTCCTAAGATACAGTGGTTGTTTTCGATCTATTTATTATTTTACTAACACTTTTAAAATATTTGTAGATCAGAAATACTATACATCATACATATCAATATATGCTGTGTGCACAAAAAATTAAATCCGTAAAAATAAAAATAAATTTGTTTTTTGATCAGAAATTTAAAAAAAATTTTCTTAGAGGTTTAATTTTTTGTATTTTTTGTAGGGATAATAGATGGTCTGGTGAAAATTTTTCTAGGGCAAGGAACGTGTGAGACATAAAAAAAAATGACTAAGATGAGACGCTAGGCACTGCTCTGATGAAGAATATTATGCAACTGATGAAGGAATAAATAATATCGACCAGATTATATTCAATGCATAGTTGGTTACGTTTCACTACTTGGGCTACTTACATACGCGTAGCCGGTCTACGGTCTGGCTATGCATTATAAGTATCTCATTTGCTGTAAAATAGAATAAATCGTTATATAATGAAAAGAATTAACAGAAATCGGCAACTTATTCTCCAGTGCGAGCATTAGATCGTGGCAGTTTTAACTTTACAAAGACTAGCAATAGAATCACTGACATCCATGTGATTGAAAACACATACGTGACATTTTTATCCTGCATTTTTGCATGGCATAGTTGAAATGTCTTCCCCTCTCTCCCTCATTGAGTAGGTGCCCGAAATAGATCTTATCAAAGTCATACTATAATTTGAATCCCAACACCTTGCTTTTTCCCCATGCAAATGAACTCGGCCTTAAAAGTTCACAGCGATAATACCGTCCTTGTATTGCATTTTGAAGAGTAATACGCAAACGGTTAGCTTTTAAAATTCTGATATTCGAACACGTTTGTTTCGTTTACGTCCAAGTTAAGAAAACGATATCGAAGAAATAGGTAAAAAAAGGGGGGGAAATGACAAGACCAAATTCAATGAAATGTTATAGTGTTTTATTGTAATACCCAATCATCCTTACAGTTTCGACTAAGCCTAAATACATTAGAATGTAGTCAACTGCATGCGCGGTTTTAACATACCTTCATCCATGCAATGCATGCTCTTTCGGTTGAACGTATTATTTACATTAAATCATACAGATAATAAAATAGCCTTCAGCATGCTAATTGCTCCACTAGAAGGTAAAACTCAATCGCATAGAAGCGCGTCAATTGTATACAATCCCGAACGGCTGTGATTTTCAATCATTCGCTATCGTCATCACTATCACTATCACTATCCTCTCCATAGCCCAAGAGAGATGCCAGGGGATTTGTCCCGGAGGATATTATCCGCTCAGTAGATGCACTTCTCGATTTATCCACTCTCTCAGTTTTCTTGGTGGCGTCAGCACTATCACCTTCTTTCTTACTACCCTTCTTTTTTTCTTCACTTTTTTTCGCGCCATCACCATCGCCTTCATTCTTATCCCTCGTATCTTCGATCTTAATCTTCTTGTTCAAATGATCACTTCCGGTTTCACTATCTCCCGATGCTTTTTTCTGAATCATTACTTTCCGCCTCTTTACCGCATTTTTCAAGATATCCTTCTGTGCATCGTGTTTGATGACCTTAGGCTTATCAGGATGCTGTTTAGCATGCGACGCAAAGCCGGTTATTACTGAAATTGCGTTATGAGTGGCTTCATCTGCTTCTGCTGCAGCACTACAATTATTGGCGAGAAGAAGAGATGAATGTAAATATATACAATATTTGCAATCAAATCATACATGGATATGATCATTGGCATAATACATAATCATCATTGTATTAACGCTAAATTGTCATGCTAACCGTCTGAATTCTTCGAGAAGTTCTTCTTCTTTTTTGAGCTTTACTTTTTCGCTTTTGCGCTCTTGATTCTCCAACGTAGCCAAGAATTCAATCTCGTCCTCGTCTAGTCTATGAATGAGATTACCTAGCATCGTGTTAAGACTAAGCAGAGCCAAGGAGTACTGCCACAACAAATGAGCTGGGTCTACGTACTTAATCTAGTCTGCTCTTGAAATGCTTCTTCCTTTTTCATTTTCTGCTCTTGTAATCTCTCGTATAAAGTTCGAGGATCATATTCCTCCTCTTGCTGAGGAGCCTCTATCAGGAAATACAGCAACGATTTTGGATGAGTTTGTTAATGAAAGTCGCAAATAACAAGAGGGTTTATTATATACATATATGTAGCCGTTCATTACGTTACTGCCCGTTTTTCCCGTTGGGCATTCATTGTTCGTGTTCACCATTTTCACGTAAAAAATACTATTGATTATATAGGTCCTCACAATCCATGCTCTTATCAGTACATTTACCTTTCCCCGTCTTCTCCATAACAATCTTCCATTCTTCTTGTCTTTTCCGACGAGCTTCGTCTATCTCTTCCTGGGAGACAAATTTTCGTTTTAGAGAGCCTTCTGGATCCATTTTAGAGAATGTCTGTAATATTATATTTGTTTAATACATAGAATAATCGCGTGTAACCTTGGCTATCATTTTCATGACCCCTGTCACAAATTTTCTTGCTCCTTTACGTAACAGACATGTCGAACGTTCGCTTAATTTATCGTTAACTCTTTATTCCAAAAAGTAATGACTTGATAAGGCGAACCGTTATTTACAGGGCGTATACAACAGAAACTCGATCTGAAGGTGAAAAACACCTGCACAACAAATTGACTGAAAAGTTCCAGCCAACGAGACTCAGCGTCCAAGACATCTCAGGTCGTAATTATATATCAGTGACATATCTCTCATAGACGGAATATTATTTATGCACCTCGGTCGGGAATTTAACTGTGGGGCTCTGATTTAACCGGATTGTAGGTGGCTGCGGCTCTATGTATTCTATTGAAATCGCATCAAAGGCTTTCGAAGGTCTCCCACTAGTTAAACAGCATCGGATGATAAATGACTATCTTGCAGAAGATATTAAAAAGATGCACGGTATTCAAGTAAGTAATGACCACATATATACGCTCCATGTTCGTTGTTTGGTATTTGTTTCTCATCTTGACTATGCGATCGATAGTTGAAGACGTCTGTAGACTAGGCTTAATGCATCGACCAATGGACGCAGAAACACACATGCTCAAAACCGTGAATCGGACGTTAAACCCCCCCAATTATCCACCCAAACTTGTGATGTTACAATTGTGTCTATACAACTAGATAGTGTAATCACGGTGGTTCGAGTCTGTTCTTGATTTCACCATGACAGTCAAAGAGACATTCCCTGCGGAGGTCCATTCCAAGATTTTGTCTAATAGAACGTTATACTGTTCACACGACACGTTGAAATATTAAACGTCTGCGAGATTTGGGGTTAGAAGCGTAAAGCCAAACAATCGAAGATAAGCATTATTTTTTTTACAAGGATACATGTGTATAATACAACAATACTGAAAATTAATGTTACGAGAAACGTATATCTGTAATATAATGAATCCAGAGAATTGTTGCCAGTAGTCCGATCAAGTGCTTTACACCAGAACAGAATGAGTCACGTGTTAAATACCATTTTTCGTTTATAAAAATCTCGATATAGTAAAGTCTCGATACAATGAATTTCGCGCCATAGTCAAGAATTCCTCTGATGCGAAACAGTATTATTAAATTTTCCCTCGTTATTAAATATAGACAAGTTCTTCTCAAACAATATTACACAGTCGCTCCCGATATAATGATTCCCGACAAGATGAAGTTGGCCCTAATATGATGCTTTTCCCGGAACCAAGTCAGTTATAATAAAATTGGTATAATATGAAGTGTGTAAATCATCACTATAATTGGTAATTATTTTATCGAGCATTAAATTAAATCAATTACTATTATGGTAAATTAAACCAATTAATCAGGATTTCGATGTTTTTATGATGAATGCTTATTTTCTCAAGTACTGTCACAATCCAACATGGGATATCGATAATGAAATGAATGCATTCTTGAATTTTAATGAAGAAGAGGAGGTTGGCAACGACGATAATATTCAACATTTAATTGACCGATTGCCTATTTCGGATCCTTTAACATCGACAATTCTCAAGAAATACCCACTGACCAAGAAATAATTGACATGGTAAAGTGATCCTGATGAACCTGAAGAACAATTTCGTATTATCAAAAGCGGTGAAGCAGTTCACAGAGTAGATCAGAGATGTAATTACTAATTACATTAGACAGCAGAACCAAGAGTTTGTTATCACAAATGAAGAGTTTAAAAAAAAAACAACTTTTACATTCAATTAATGCGAAGCGACAAGGCTACCTTTAATTCTTTTACTAAGATAGAATAATACGATTGCTAATTAAGTGTTAGAAACAGTAAATATGTGTTAGGTATTCACAAAAAAATTGTTACATTTGACTTTTCAAGTCAGTGTAAATCCTAGTTTGACAGATAGTGCTTATACAACCTTGTTCGCGATTTCTAACGGGAGGCCTGTAGTAGCCGAGAACGAAAGAATTAATTATTTTAGGTTAGCAATTAAAGTGGTTCTAACGATGAGAATCCGCCAAGACAAGCTTGTGCGACCAGAATATCAAAGGTATTATGGACAGGTTTGTATAAAAGGCGTATGACAACTGACAACATTCCGCCGACGGGCGCACACATAAAAATGGGCAGAATAGGCATAATAATAGTAACTTCGTTTGTTCTTTTTCCTTTCCCACCACCGACTCTCCCACTCTAAATATTTAATTCACCTTTCTTTTAACAACACTATTCACAAAATGGTGAGTTGCTCTACATACAGTTCGAGTGCAAACATGTTCTGTCAAGTAACAACCGTGATAGTCTCATCCTAACTAATCCGATTCTCATTTGTCAATTAGCCGACTGCTGCTGTTATCCGCAAACGCAATAACCAGTACGCTGCTGCAAGCCAGGCGCGACTACCACTTGTAAGCATCCTTCTTTTACCAAGATTTAAGATCATAATAGTATAGCAAACAGTTTAAAAGATCCCTGGCCAAGAATGTTTAACGATGGTTTACCTCCTTTACTATCATAACAGCCAAAGAAACACCAAGAAAAGAAAACTCCAATCGGGTACTTTGCTCTGGCAGTATTACTCTGTGTCGTAGTTGGAACTGCCGTACTGGAAATGCTTAAGTTTATTTAGACTTGCCATTATTCGTCAGGCATGAGTATATATGGTAGCCGTCGATTGGTATGGCACGGGTCAAAAAGAGAACATTTTCCGATTTTACTTCGGACTCAAAGTGATAACGTTTATTTTCGATCAACAATAGATTAATAAAACTTCAATTAAGAGTAATGCTTGGCTTTGAAAAAAAAAAATAGACTAGTCCTATATTTGTCTTTAATACAGTAGCAATAAAACAAGAACATTCATGTCTACAATGATGAAGCACTGTTGCTTATTTTATCGCTATCTTCCGTCTTTTCTTCCGTTTGCTCATTTTCCTCTTTGTCCCGTCCTTCGCTATCCCCTCCTATCGTATTCGTTTGCTCAGCATCCTCTTCCTGTACTGTCACTGTTGCGTCCTGTTTGTTGCTATCCCCTTCCGTCCCTTTCATTTCCTCGCTATTCTCTTCCTCCACATCCTCTTCTTGTCGCTTCACTTTCTTGACATCCTTGTCGTTATCCACCTCCATACCTTTTGTTTCTTCGTTATCTTCTTCCTCCATATCCTCTTCTTTTCGTTTCACCCTCACGTTATCTCTGTCGCCATCCTCTCCCATCGCTTTCGATTCTCCACTATTTTCTCCCCCCACATCCTCTGCCATACCTTTCGATTCTTCACTATTTTCTTTCCCCACATCCTCTTCCACAACTTTCAATTCTTCGTTATCATCTTTTTTGGGTTCGGGATAAATTTCAACATTCTCTTTCACACCTTTCGATTCTTCCCCCACATCCTCTTCCATCCCTTCGTTATTTTCTTCCTGTAGTTTTACCTTCTCGATATCCTTTGTCATTTGCTCGCCATACTCCCCTTCTTTCATTTCCTCGCCACCTTCCTTTTCGGTCGACTTGTTCTCCGCTTGTAACATCATGTATCTAGATTCCTCCGGTGAAAGTTCTTCAGCCGAACGAGATATTGGAGCTGATGGACTCGGTTCGTCTATATCCATTGGCTGTGCTGACGAGGAGGGAGACTGGTCTGCTAATAGGGTAATTGATTCAGCTGCTTGCTCAATAGACGGTTGAGCGGTAGGCTCTGCTGCTGATGATTCTACCTCTGATGTTTCTGTCTTGTCTCGTTTTTCACCACCAGTTCGATCCTCTTCCATCGCCTTATTTTCTTCCTCTTCAGCTTTCTCATCGTCAGATGTTCGCCTTAGAGCATCCCCCCTGTCACGTTCCTCTTTCTCATCGTCAGACATTCGCCTTGGAGCCCCCCAACCATGTCCCTCTTTCTCATCGTCAGATGTTCGCCTTAGAGCATCCCCCCTGTCACGTTCCTCTTTCTCATCGTCAGACATTCGCCTTGGAGCCCCCCAACCATGTCCCTCTTTCTCATCGTCAGATGTTCGCCTTAGAGCATCCCCCCTGTCACGTTCCTCTTTCTCATCGTCAGACATTCGCCTT